TTCTCGAGGGCGTTGTGTCGAGTTCTTATAGGGCTTCCGTAGGGCTTTGCAGGGTTCTTTTACTATATGTTTTAGTATACTACGGTTTCGGGCTTAGGGTTTAAGGTTTAGGGCCTATACTATAATGATTACAAATGGGGTTGAAAAAAGGGTTTGACAGGGCTTTCTGGGTTTAGGGTAGGATCTGCGTAGGGGATTGCAGGGATGGAGGGTGTACGATCCGAGGTCGGGAGTCGGAGACATCAATCGTAGATACTCTAGGGGCCTTAATTAATTATAATACGGGTTGGGGGTATATTATACCATAACTATAAAAAGGAACCCCAAAACCCTATTCTAATTACTCATGTCAAGCCAAGAGCAGCTGATGGACCAAATTCAATACTTGTACCACGAGGGTCTGAACAGTTGTAGATATGCTAGAATAGACCTCAGACCCATTTCTAATTGTTGAGGTGCTATATTGCTGCTATATTGCATCTCCACGACCGGCGCATGATTTAGGATTGTAAAATGTTCGGACGAAGCGTGGGGACCGCGTAAAGTGAGCACAGCCCACAATCCTATTCTCGAAAAGCCAGGAAGGGTTCCTTATCGTTGTACTATGATAACACACCCCAAAACCCTGTTCCAATTAATTGGTAACTTCCTTACAATATTTTGCTGTCCCAATGCTGGGCACTGGCCAGGAGCCCGTTTCACCGACTACGTTAGCAGCTTGCCCCATGGGGACCAGAAAGTGAAGAAGAAGGCCTCTTCGGGGCTGGAGAATGAATATCAATACTAAACAATAACAACAAATAATACAAATGTAACAACAAATAGTAAATCAACAAGAATAGTAGCATTATGGTAGTTGAACCGAAAGATAATGGAGCATGCTACGATTTCCTGGTTTTGTGTTCGTCTCTTTGATTTTGGAACTCTGTGGTGCAGTAGAAGTATGTCACTACCACAAAGCAAGTATAGGGAGAACTAAGGATGTGATAGCAGCTTGATTGCATGCCATGGTGGTATCGTAGACTAGGAATGAAATCTGTGGATGGCTGTGGCATTCGCCGAGACCTTGTGAGAGTAGCCATCTGTGGCGCTAACTTGTGACTCAACGACAGCTTCTCCAACATTTCTACTGCCTGCTAGCTCCGAAGCGAACACCAGCAAAGCCTTGCCAAAATCCCTTATCGTACCCCTCACAGTGACCCCAGTGGCACCTTCACTGGAACCCTCCATAGTAATGCTTCGAGCAGTTGTAATCCTGTTGGACCCTGCACCAAGATACTGAAGCCCCCCCAGTCATCAGCTAGAAGCCTTCGCCGCAACCCGGCAAAGCATGGAACAGAAGTCTTCAATGCCTGAGCTCCTAAGCCCCTAAACCCCCAAAACCTTCAACTTGAAGCCTCTAGACTCTGAACCGTAAACCCCTAAAAGCCTTGAACCCCGAAGGCACCCAAACCTGAGACCCCCTTGATCGCCAGCTTCTCGGCTTTTGTGATTTCTACCGGCCACGTTCCCCTCCATCGTGGCGCGAGGCATCGGCTTTTTCATGCGAGGCTGTTCTCTACAAGTTCACACTATAGGAGTTTTGGGGTTCATTTGCTTCTAGTTCCGCCAGGTTTTGGTTCCTAGGGCCAACCGCAGCAAACATGAATTTGGACACTTGTTCCCCTATGCTTCCAGGGACCTTATCATTGGGTCCCTAAGGGGTTTAGGGCCCTAACTATAAGGCCGTTGGAAGCTCAGGGTTCTTGTTGCTCTTAGAAGTGCCCCAAACTTGCCAAGTGGGAGGGAAAAAACCCTAGCTATAAGGTGGAAGCTCAGGGTTCTTTTTGCTCTTAGAAGTTATCCCTGGAGCCGAGTGCGATGTGCTGCTGGGAACCTGCTCGGGCGAGCATTAAGCAAGCGGTAGAAAGGGTTCCAGGGCTGCCGCTTCCACCTCTTCTACTATCTATCTATGTATCTATCTATCTATCTATCTATCTATATATATATTCAATATGTACATGTGTGTATATATATATATACACTTATAGTGGTGCTGGTCGTCGAAAGCTTCAGGACCTCAGTGAGAGCGCTGCCGCCAACGCCACGGCGCATCTCTGCGGGCCCCTTTGGGTGAATTTCAGGGTAGGGCACAGGGAAAAACTGAATAGTCGGGCTGCAGAGCAAAAATATGATCTTACTTTAGTGGCACTATAGCCACGAACTCGACACACCATCTCCCGTTCTAAGGCTTGGATAGGAAAAGCTCCAAGATATTATGTAAGGCGTGTTCTTCCTGTCGCTTGTATCAGCAACACAAGAATGCTTGCTGCGCGTGAATCTAGAGAGATTCTCCTCTGGTGACGACTGTCATTCGCTGGTGATTATCTGGAGGCAGTCCCCGTGATGTGGAAGAGAAGCTAGGAGTTCTGGACCATCCAGAAATCCGTCGACGTTCGTTTAACCAGCTCGAACACGTATTTCGCGCCCGGCTCAACAGGACGTACACGCAGTCGAACCCATGAGAACCATTATCATCGTAGCTACTCTCCAAGTGAACGGCATTGGGGCTGATCGAAAACTGCGTAGCTTCAGGAAGAGTTGTTCAATATGCCCAACGACTAAGCTGTACAAGATAACACTGAGTCAAGGTGATGAGTACTTCATGAATATTATATTGATCTAGCTAAGCGAAATTGAGTGTCAGTTAGCTCACCAACTTGTATACACTGAATGCTCGGATTGCGGGGGATTGTGAACCGATGAAGCTCCCCATTAGATGTATATGGTCCATCAATGTAGGCATGTAGGGCTGCAGGGTTTAAGGCGCAGCCCCTAAACCCTATAGACCCTAAAACGCTCGGTAAAAAAAACACTTTCAACTCCGACGCCATCAATTGTACCCAAAATTTGGCTATAGGGTCCTCCCACCTAAAGTGCCGTGTTTGGAGCCGGGCAAAAACCGAAACCGACAGGTAGTTTTGCTTTGACCGAAACCAAGAGATCTGGGATTGGCGGCTTCGGTTTTTTGGTGACTCCCTGGTCTGTTTAAGAGTGCAAAAAAGTGTGCAGGGTACCGAAACGAGTTTTTAGAAGGTCAAACAAATTGAGGTCTCTCGTGAGGTATAGAGGCCTAGATTTGACCTCAGGCCCCAAAAGGCCCCCCAACCCTACACGCCGGACTCTGTCCCTAAAGAACCTAAGCTGCAAACGGGAAGCCTTACGATAGTTCAGCCACAATCAACTTACAGTAATCATTAAGGACTGTTTAATAAAGAAGCCCCCAAAGCTATGTTTTATCAGGTCCCGGTATACCCTAAACCCCCCTATGAATTGCTCAGGTCTACTGTATTCTGATAATTATGGCCTACAACAAAAACCGTATAAACGCACTGTGCAGGACCCCTCCCCGATATTTAAGGTCCCTATATCATAGGACCCACATACTAACCCCAGTTCTAGGCCCTTTACAGGCAACCCTAGTCTAGAACCCTCTCATTAGTTCCCCTTAAAGAGAACGCGATCTTGGAACCCTATATATAGTACCGTAATAGTACCCCCTTACAGGGAACCCTAGTATACAACCCTATAATATTCCTTAGAGGGAACCGCATCATAGAACCCTGCAGTATCCCTTACACTAAACCCTAAACCCTTAACCCCAGGTGGGAGGCAGAAAAACCCTTAACTCTTAAAGCCATACCTTAAACCCTTAAAGGAAGCCACGACTTGCTTAGGTCCGCCCTTCGATCGGAGGGCTATCTCAGCTTCTGCGAGCTCTGCAGCGATTCCAGCCAGGTTCGAGGTTTAGGGTTTTTGAGTCCAGGGTTTAGGGTTTAGGGTTGAAGTTGTTAGGGGTTTGGGTGCCGAGATCGGTCTGACCGAGAGTTTTGGAACCTGATTTCTGATTTGGGGCTGGGTAAGGGCTGGTGGCTCGGAGTGGCTGGACTGGCAAGCGATACACTCTATAGCAATGGAGTCATAACCCACTAGTCTGCCGGGTTTGGGGCGACAGGTCGTGCTAAGGTTTAGGTTTCTAGCACATAGGGCTCATGGAAATTTGGGGTTTAGGGCTTAGGGTTCTGCTACGTGTTGTCTTCGTTTTGGTGGCAACGGCTTTGTCTAAGCCCTGAACGCTGTAAACCCTAAACCAGGTGTAGTTGGTCTTCTTATTATCTAAAGTCTAGAGTTTTGTGGTTGAATCCTTCTTTCGCTCGGGCATTTAAGGGTCGAGGGCTTAGGGCTGCAGACGTTACCGTTAGAGCTTGAAGCGGGTACTGTGCATAAGCTTAAAGCCTTTCATGTTGTCACAGTCCAGCAATTAAAGAGTTCCCAACAAGCAAGATCGGAATTTTGTGCGGAAACAGCTGCAATCCTGAGCATGATGCTAAGTAGCAATGTGCTGTGCAACATATTGCATCCAACATACTTTGTGCCAGATCGGCGCAAACGTGACAAGAACAAACAGGAACGTCTTGAGCACAAACTCGTGTAGTTTTGGCTTTGGAGTTTGAAAAGTGTTATTTCAGCGTGGAGGAGTCTCATTAGGCCAAGGCTTCCAACTTCCATCTTCCAACTTCACCCAGGGTTCAGGGTTTAGGGTAGGCTTGCTTCGTGAGGTGCAGCGGAACCCAGCACGTGGAACCATGTTGCTTGCATGTGGATCATGCTTTTGTCCTTTCCAGTTGCTGTGTTTTGTACCAGGCATGGGGCACCAGCTCAACATGTAGCATTTGCTTTGCGTGAGTGGCGGATGTGTGTGGCAGTTTTTGGTCAAACAGCGGAATCGCGATTTGGACAACCAAGGCTTGCAAAGTCTACGGACGGTAATTTTCCATGCGCGCAATGTAATTCTCGGAATATGCATCGCACAGTGCCCATCTACAACAATAACAGAACAGGAACACCTGACACTGGTCGCCATATTGGTTCCACCATCTGTGGTTCTGCCTCTTCGATCTGACAAGGACCCTGACAGCGAAGAGCATTCGAAGATGAAGTTCACACTTCTTGATGGCGGCATGGGGCTTGAGCTCAAGGAACGTAAAGCTGCAGGAGAAGATGTTGCATATTCCTTGGAGCTGTTCTCAACTGCAACATTACTTGAGACGCCCCAAGCAGTTGTACAACTGCACGAAGACTACATCAAAGCAGGTGCCACAGTGATTACAACTGCCTCGTACGCAGTGACCCGGTTCTACTTGGACAAAGTTGGTCAGGCACGTCGTGTGAAGGAACTCAACCAGTTGTGTGTTGCTTTGGCAAGGAAGGCCATCGCCGCAACAGACAGCGCCTCGAGTGTTTTGGTCGCTGGTTGTGTGCCACCACTGTCAGAAAGCTATCGCGCAGACCTTGTGCCGCATGATGGTCAATTGAAGGAACAATACGCAGAGATCATCGACTCATTGACGGGATCAGACATTTTCCTTTGTGAGACCATGTCGTCCATGCGTGAGGCTGCAGTGTCCGTGCCGATGTGCGTTGCGACGGGAACACCAACATGGGCATCATTCACTCTGAAGCATGACAAGGAGGACCGCTTATGCATCCCTGATGGCACCGATGTGGAAACAGTTGTCAAAAAGACCGTGGCGATGGGTGTCGACGCCGTGCTTTTCAATTGCTGCGCGCCCGAGCTGATCTCAGAGGCACTACCCAAAGCTTCAGCTGCCCTAAACGGAGCTTCGTATGTCAGGCTCGGAGGATATGGCAATGCTTGGGAGGAATGTGACCGTGACCACTGGACAATTGATCAAAACGAATCGCATGTGGGTGCCAATGACCACGGGACGCATGGCATGGTGGTAAGGGACCTTCGTGAGGAACACTACGTGGAGCAAGTTCAGGAATGGCTGCAGAGTGGGGCGAGCATAGTTGGAGGTTGCTGCGGCATCTCACCATCCCATATTCGAGCCATCTACCAGGACATGAACCCACAGCATGCCAATGAGCATGAGCACCAGTGAGTGATGCATGTCTGATGTACAGTTAAAGAGTGTTCTGCAAAGATGTCATTATGTACATCTTCGCCCGCACATTTTGGATGTTTCAAGTGCCGCTCGTTCTTCTCCAACAATGAGACCATTTAAAGGGCTCAACTCTGCATGAAGCTGCCGAAGATGCTTCCTGCCCAAAACGGCGCATATTTGAATGTTACTGTGGCATGTCTAACACGTAGAAAGGTTGAGAAGCTTCAGTTGGATCAGGTCCACTGGCATTTAGGATGCAAGCGCTTTCCAGCCCCGGTCTGATCTGAAGTGTCTGGCCGCAGTATTCTTCAGCCTGACTTGGAAGTAAAAGCCGGAGTAATGTCGTGTTTAGGGTATAGGGTTTAGGGTTTTACTTGGTCCGTATATAATCAGACGCTGGTACTGTAGAGGACACTACGTCTCGTTTAGGGTTCAGGGCTCTTACCTGCTTAGGGGCCTGTTTTTGCTCGGTTTTGCAGGGTGCTGTGTCAGGGCCTGCGTAAGATTGAGACTTGGATTTCTTAGGTTTCTGTCGCCAAGCGGACTGTTTTAGGTTCGAGGGAAGCGGAGTCGCGCATTTTGAGGCAGGGTGACGCCTTGCTTCAAAGTCTTGGAATGCTGTTCGATGTTGGATCTCACAGCAGTGTCTTGCAATTTGGTACTATGTAAGCTGTGGTCATGTGCCAGTCAGTTTATTCTCAAAGCGTCACGTGACCCAATGCATTGCACGCAGCTCATTCGATTTATGCTCAGGCACCCAAGAGTTCGAACCATCATTCTAGTCTTCCAAAAAGGCTCAGCTTTACATATGCAGCTCGAACAAGATTTGAAAGGAATTTAGTTTGCGAACCAACTGTTTAAGCTGAAAACTCTGAAATGTCGGAAACATACGGGACCCTAATATATAGAACCCTAAACAAATGCGGATCCCCATTACAAGGACCCCCAAAAGGGTACCGCACTACACCTCTTTTTCTGAAACTCTGCACATCACCGGAGGTGCCAGAAGAAAGGGCCCACTGGCCTGAAGATGTCCGCACGCAGAAGAAGCCACAGGATATCCTCAGACGGCTTAGGGTTTAAGGGTTTTCGGTTTAGGGTTTCGGGGTTTAGGGTTAGGGTTTAGGGTGCTGCGAGGGATTTGACCGGGCGAGCTCCAATCAAGCCTGTGGAAAGGGGGTTTAGGGTTTACGGCGTAGGGTTCAGGGTGAGTTTAGGGCGTTGATCTTGAAGCCCGAATTATCCCAAGTTTTGTCGTAAGGCTTGGTCCGGTGTCAGCGAGGCTTTGCTAGCAATTTAATATTCAACATGGTGCCATATTTTATACATACAGATAAGCATAAGTAGATATATATATATGTATAGAGAGAGAGATATGTGTTTATATATATATACATATATATATATGTGTGTGTGTATGTGTATATATATATAATTATATATATATAAATATATATGTGCAAAGGTACATGTACGTATCATCTGCACCTAGCTTTTCCGTGAATTCCCTGAAGACCCCTGGGCTTGAATATCATTCATTCCCAGAGACTGCACATTATATACCTCCTCAACCTCGACTCCCTAATGAAGGGACACGTCCCTTACAGTCGCTATATGACTATGCTATAGTATACGCGAAAAGCCAATTTCGAATACTAGGGGCCCTGTGGGAAAATCCTAGATAGAAACCCTTACAGTGTATAAACCCCTACGAAGCATTGTTCTATTGTTTAGGACCCCTACCGCAGACCCTCATGGCAACCGTTACATATAGTAACCCTTATAAAACCAGGTACAGGACCCCTCCACAAAACCTAATATACTAAACCCGAAACTTTACCCTCCAGAACCTCTAATCTACTAAAACCCGAAACTTTACCCTCCAGAATCCCTAATCTACTAACCCGAAACATGTATCCTCCAGAAACCCTAATCTACTAATCCCTAAACCCTCATGCCATACACCCCGAAGGACTGGTGTGGCACCCCGAAGCTCCTTCCAGAGTTCCTTGTCCAGCTCTGCAGCTGTGTTTAGGGTCTAGGCTTTCAGGGGGCAAAAAATTTATAAAGGCTTTAGGAGACTTTCTCAAAGCTTCGGTGCTACGGTGTCTTGCGTAATCTTATGCTTCGACACATCGCAGAATTTGGCACATCATTGTTTTTTGTGCCGGCATGCTGTGTTTTTTGGCTTCTGCTGACTGCCGTACTGATGATGAACTGGCAATCCTGCTTAAGCGCAGCAAGAGCCCCGACGTGCGATTCACGGCAAGCGCAAAGATAAACCTGTAAAACCCTGACCCCTCCGACCCCTCCTAACCGATCATTTTGCGGCAGCCCCGGAATACAGTGAACTCCGTGCTCCAAGTCAAGGCACCTTTAATTAGTAATATGTGCTATGATGCAGATGCGTTGTGGTTTATGGATCAACATCCAGGAATGACTCGAATGGAAAGGACTAGCAGACCAGCACAAGCCTTCACTCCCTTCTTGAACAGCTGTATTGTGTTCTGCTTCAACCATGCAGTCCTACCTTCTGCTGCATTACTCGAAGCAGCTAAGCAACATGCTGCCATTTTGAATCCGAACTCCCACACCCGAAGCTGCGCCTCTGAGGCTTCAGAATTTGACGCAATTTTTGGCTCGCGTGAAGCTTGCTTCTGCCAGCTCGGAGCAGCAAGGCTTCGAAAATCAATGGGGTTTTGGGTGCAGGGGTTTAGGGTTTTGGGGTTAGATACCAATACATGAATTCTCCAAGCCAATGGAAGAAGTTATTTGTAGATGCCAGGCTACAGCCTCCAATTCGGACAAATCCAGTGATTCAAAAAAAAATTCTTCGATATTAGTTCTATACATCTATATCTAGCTTATAATAAGGTACGTCGGTTTCTTGGGCAACTCATAAAATGATTTAGATATGATCAATAATTAAGATTAAGAAATAGATATAATTCTTTAAATAAATATGATATTAATTTTAGAATACCGAAAATTTGTTTATAAAGAATTATTAAGATAGATATTTATTTTATAGATTATCTGCATTTATAAGACACAGAAATTTCAAAGAAGATATTAATTTAATATTTGCCATATCTTAAAATTTATAATTCCGATAATTCTTAAATATTTAAATTTTAAAAAGAATATTCGTATTATAAATTGATAATATCTTGAAATAATATATAATACTTACTTAAGATAGAAATATATACTTAATTTTGCAAAATTTAAAATTTTATTGATCTTAAAATTCATTTAAATTCTTTTTTCAATAAATTTGGAAAGTATTTCTGAAATGATTTTTTGAAAATATTATTGATGATATTAATTTAAAAAAACAATCTAAGTTAAAAATATAAATATATATGAAATTATAATAAAAAAGAGATTTTTTAATGATTACTATTTTTCTAATGGGTAATAATTTCTTAAGAAAGCTCTATTGAAATTAAATTGGCGGCCGATAGTGCTGTCGCCACAAAAAACAAATTTCTATTTATTCGAATTTATTATTTAAAGAAAGATTTTTAGCCTTCAATTTATATTTTGAAATTTACAAGAGAATTTCTGAATAAATTGAAACCTTGGAATTTAGACCTAATTTATAAGATTTTACGATGGATAAAAAAATTTTCGGTATTAATTCTTTAAGAAATTTTTATTGAAACTAAATTGGCGGCTTTTGTTATTCTTCTTCGATTCCAGATCTTCTGCCTTGGACCCTTCAGATTTCGAGATCTTTTCTTCTGGGTCTTGGGAATCTCTGAATCCGAAACCTTCTAATCTTGAGGGAATTACGGATCTTCTTATTTTTAAGCTGTTTCTTTAAAGGATTATTTGGATTTAAGTTCTTGTCCATGGCTTAAATTATTAAGATTCTAATAAATCTATATTTCTGAATTTTCGAATTTTATCTTTTATTTATATTTTGGATTCTGATCTCTGTCTTGTCTCTTTCAAGTCTTTGAGTCTCTTAATCTTGCGGGATTAAATATCTTGAGGCCTTCGATTTCTGTAGAATCTCTAAATCTAATATCTTCTGATAATATTCCTTCTTTACTCTGAATAATAAGTCCTAAGGGTCGGGGGTCTTCGGCCCTAATCTTAAAATCCGAATTATCAGATCTCTAGGATATAATTTTCTTATTCCTAATTTGAATTATATTATTGCCTCTGAAATTTTATTAATCTATCTATTTCAGATTCGAATCGTAGTCGTTCCATAATCTCTTTCCGAAACGCACCCCAACCCAGCCATGTCATAGTCATATGCCAGGCACACGACAGCCGAATATCAATCTATGAGATATCGCCGAGCTTGAATCGAGCTTTGAAATATCGCCGATCCACTTGCTTCAAACTCTGAGAATTGATTCAAGCTCTGACATATCGCCGATCCGTTTGTTTTAGAATTGCAGCCCAATTCCAGCCATCCAGTCAAATTACAGCCGCATCAGAATCCGATCGACGCCTTTGAGAAACCGCCGATCCCCTTGTTTCAGACTCGAATCATAGCCGAATCACAACCACATCACAATCGAAAATAACCAAATGCGAATCACAGCATCATCATCGCCATATCTCATCACGATAGGCGCACGACGGCCGAATTACAGCCTTAGAGAAATCGCCGATCGATTGTGTCAGGCTCGGGTCATAACCGAATCATAGCTATATTATAGTCGAACCACATCTGAATGAAACTCGAACCACAGCCTCATCGTAACCGCAACACACCCGAAACACAGCCGAATTAGAACGAAAGTACAGCCGAATCGTAGTTATATCACAGTCGACTCTACAGCCACTTACCGCCGAATCACAGCTTCTGAGAAATCGTCGATCAATTGTCTTGTTTCAAGTTCTGAGAAATCGCCGATCCATTTGTTTCAATCGTTGAGAATTCGCCGATCCATATGTTTTAAACTCTGAGAATTCGCCGATCCATGTGTTTCAATCTCTGACACATCGCCGATCCGTTTGTTTCAGAATCACAG